GCATTTTAGGGTGGTTCAGCCTACCTCATGGTGGAATTGAAAGAATATTGTGCAGGGGAAAGAGGTCGAGGACTTCCCTGGTGGCTCAGTGGTTAGGAATCCGCCTGTCAATGCAGGGGACATGGGTTCCATCCCTGGTCTGGGAAGATCCCACATGCCGCAGAGCAGCTAAGCCGGTGCACCACAACTACTGAGCCTGTGCTCTAGAGCCCGCGAGCCACAACTACTGAGCCCGTGTGCCTAGATCCCGTGCTCTGCAACAAAGAGAAGCCACTGCAATGAGAAGCCCATGCACCACAATGAAGAGTAACCCCCGCTCGCCGCAACTAGAGAAAGCCCGTGTGCAGCAATGAAGACTCAACACAGCCAAAATAAATAAATAAACAAATAAATAAGTAAATACATTTATATTAAAAAACAAAAAGAGAAAGAGTCTAGAAGACTACATGGAAAAGAGTGTATGTTCAATATATAAATGACAGTTGATCTAAATGGGTAATTCTCACCATTTTAGCAAACCAGAATATTTCATTCACTAAAGACTCTAAAGATGGCAATTTCTTTAAAAAATAGAAACCAAGGTAAACCTCGAAAAGACCCATCTCCTACAGCCTCTCTCAAGAGCACTGAACAGAACGCTAAGACTCCACGTGTCAATTGCAGCCTGGGTGCTTACGACCCAAGGGCCCTGTATGCCTCTGTCCTGTCCAAGCTCCCTGTGACCATGCGGGCCCTGAACTCAGGTTTTTCCTGATCATCTATTATCACCAATGCAGTGATGATGAAGAGAGCTCCAGAGAACCGAGTAAGGATGAGCCTAGTCCTGGCACTGCCTCTGAGGCCTAAGATGGCAGAGGTTTCAGAGGTAAACTCATCAAAACCAACACAGGAGCTTCCCAGAACAAGGGAGAGGCCGAGGAGGATAGACGGGGTCACGCCGAGCCTCCATCAGGCCTGCACCGCTTCAGGAAGACGGCACCAGGCTTTGGTGGTGTGCTGAACCCCTACAGCAAGGTCTGTTCACAGTAGGAGGTGACTGGAAAGCCAATGTCCTGTGTGGGGCTGGGGGCAGAGGCTGAGGAAGAGAAACACCCCAGGCTTCAGAGCTACAGAGACACCTGGAATCCCTGCCCTTCCAGGCAGAGCCGCGGACCAGTTATGTGATGAGTTTGGGCCACAGCCCCCTTGACTACAGAATACAGATGCCCATCTTGCTGGGCTTTTGCAATGGTAAGAAAGAAACTATGTAAAAGCACCTGGCACAATTCCCAACACACAGACCAGCTAAGTAAGAGGGACTGCTGTTACCTGCGGTGTGTCTATCTGGGTGATAGATGTCTTACAGTCATAGGTGAAAACAAAGTCAAAACCTTAGCAACAAGATCATTGTTTTAATTTTTTACAATTAAGTTTGTCTAAATTGAGTCTCTGGAGGACGCTGGAATGCCGTAAACTGATAAAACGCTGAAAACTCTCACAATACTGTGCAGAAAAGTACATGATGAGAGAAGGTTTACAAAATGCAACAATGAAAGCTGGTGTGAAGCACACACCTGCAGGGGCATCTCCGAGTCTGAATGACGCTGTTGAAGAGACTGCACGTATCAACAAGCAGTGTGTCACGTCTGCGGAGGACTACCCAGGAGCGTCCGTCCTATGCCATTAGCAGGCCGCTATGCAATTTGCAAAATGACTGTGCTCTGGAAGTATCCATGTGTTTACTATATAAAAAGAGATGAGGATCCAAGTGTCTGACCAAGCATCCATGGAAAACAAGCCCGGGCTTCTTCCAGATATAAAGCAGACCATGACTCACAAGCTATGTTTTTCAATCTAATAGCAAAAAGATGTCTTGAAATGAGCACAAAAAAATGCCAGAGAAACCTCAGTCAAAATATACATGACAAAGGCAGACACTGATGTACTGATATTTCCTACTATCATATTAGTTATAGCTCTCTGTAACCAAATGCCTCAGGACCCTGTGTTAATCACTACCTGTGTTAGCCAACTAAACAAACGTGAGGCTCTTAGGAGGTGTTAATCACTCCCATTTTATGGAGGAGAGAACAAAGCTCAGGGAGGTTAAAAACAGGCCCAGAGGTGGAGTCTGTAAGTGTAGGAGCTCGAGCTCAAACCCACGTGTGCCTGACTCCAAAGAGGTGAAGGTTTGGTTTTTTTAAACTCGTGTCTTCTTCCTCCCCAATCAAGAGCTCTTTCACAAGCAATCATTTATTACTTATTTTCTGTTACCTCATGAGGTTTATTTTTCTTTCAGTACAAAGCATTGTATGCATTTTAAAGTGGCAAAGTCTGAGTCAAACTAGACTGTGTCTTTATGTGTCCCTGATGCTTGGATGCCAGGACATTCCATAACATCAAGACCCCAAGGCCCCTGTGGGAAAAGATGCGGGTGCAGATCCTTAAGACGCACTGTGCTGGGGCTCCAGTGGGGTCCCACCTCAATGGCGCGGGTGGTCAGGAAGGCATCCCAGAGATGGAAAGCTGGCCAGAGGGACAAGACATCCCAGCAAAGGAGAGTCTACCACACAAAGGGCAGGAGGAGGGAGGGGGGCTGTCGAGAGCCGCAGAATGTTCCAGGCCTTTCGTTTTCCACTCTGTCGTCCAAGTCTTTGAAACCCAGTCCAAAGGCAGAGGCAGCACTGCTGATCTGCTAAGGTACCTCCGCTGTGCCAGAATTTTTCTGCCAAGGAGAAGGGGGCCACAGAGACACCTCTGCCTGATGTAAAGTCTGCAGCAAGCCTGAATTTCATCTG